GTGTTTGGTATTTTTTCTCAAAATACAGGACTTTGATCCCTGAAATTTTTCTAATGAGCTGGCACAGTAGAATTTATATTCAAAGTCGATTTTCTAGAAAATCAAGTTTTTTACGTTAGGTCACGTAAAGGCCATAAACTCAAGAACGAAAGGGCCAGAACACGAGGATACAATTTGTATGACTCAAATATTGATAAAAATCGACAGTGAGTCCCCGACAAATACGCCAATTTTAATGATAATGTGTAGTAAAGGGGGTTCAAGAGTGTTTTCGGATATGCATCTCCGAATTAACCTTGGGTAAATTTCGCGATGCATATCTGAACCAATTTGCTACGTGTTTTATAAAGGTTGAGTTCAGATATGCATTTTCAAATTTACCAAAGGGTATTTTTAGAATTTCAAGGGTGCGTCCCATATAGCAAGAGTTGGATGAGAAATTGCCTAGGGTTAATTGTTCTCCAAATACTTCTTGTACTTACTAAAAAAGGTATAATGAGGATAGTTTTTTCTCTTTTGGGTTGTTTGAGGATTTTGGGTATATGGACTTATTGATGACTTGCTCACGTAGGATCGTGAGAAACAATGTTTATAATTTCCCCTTGAGTGATTGGAACACCCTTCCCCCATTTTGGAAATAGGGTATATATAATATGGACCTCACAGTGGAAGATCAGTTCTTCCTCTATTATATGGAGAATTATTTTATCCTCTTATGTTGTGCTTGACTAATTCTCATATTGTTATATGCTCGCAACATATGTTAGACGAGTCATGGATACCAGTTCAGGCGACCAGGCCCAATTGGGCGACCAAGCCCAACTAGGCGACCAATGCTAGCTTTGGGCACTTTCCCAACATTACTACACATAATTCATTTATGTCATGGATTATCTTTTATGACCCAATAAAATTATCGTAATACGCACTTCATCAAGCATGAGACCTTGGAAGGGGCAAAGTAATTTAGCCCATGCAAAAGGTAATTTATTTTTCAAGCAAGTCTCGCATGCGAGACTTATTAAAGACGAGTCTCTCAGATGAGATTTAGATATTCGAGTCCCTCCGATGAGACTTATATAATTGAGTTCCTCATGCGCGACTTAGGTAGTTAAGCCTCTCATTCGAGACTTCGTAAAGGTGGGTGTTTCATGCGAGACTTTGCAAATGCGAGTCTTTCAGGTGAGACTTGGATAATTGAGTCCCTCAATCAATACTTCGTAAAGGGGAGTTTGTTAAACTCTTGGGGCGAGTTCATCAAGCCTTTCTTGGGTGTGTTTGTCATTTAATGTTTTAGATATGGATTCCTTTGTTTGCTATTCAAATTATCGTCCTTTGTAGTCCTTTTTGTAATTGTGCCCCTCGAGGTTTTTCTTTCATAAGAACGTTTACAACTTTTGACACTTTGTTTATGCAATTGTTGGCTTTTCTTATTGGTCGCAACGGGTGATAGTCTTGTGGCGTGTTTCCATTGGGCGTCGAGTTTCCTGTTGAGACAAGTATGGGTAGTCTAACAAGGCAACAAAGATCTTTCTGTGTAAGTCGAGCAAAATGTTTTTCTTTAGTACGACAAGGATCCTTCAGTGAAAGTTCAACAATATATTATCTAATGTCGCATCAGGGATCGTTCAGTGAAGATCCAACAATGTATTTCCTAATAAGCCGACAAGTATCTTTTAGTAAAGGTCCAATATTGTACTGCCCAATATGGCGACAAGGATCCTTTTGTTGGGGCAATTTAGCGGGGTTAAGACAAGGGAGCATTTTAAATTGAGAATTTTTTTCTTTTGAACAACACACCTTTGTGAGAGATATGCCACATACTCATCAAAAACCCTAACGTGATATGTGTGTGAGTTCTCCTACTTATAAATGTTCAAGTCTCCAAATTTCTAACCAATGTCAGACTTTCTCACACTATTCACACTTATAATTCTTTTTCAACATTCCCCTCAAGTGTGAATCCAACCACAATGCTCTCTCTCAAGTGGAAGCTCTTTTATCCATATATACTTGTATTGTCGTTGACACTTTTCAACGGGACCCCTCCTACGGACATTTTGATACAAGTAAATTGGTATCTTCACTCGAAACAAAGGCTCGTGATACCATTTGTTGGAACAATTCGAAGGGTCAAGTCAAGGGAGCATTTAACTTGGAGACTTTTTTCTTTTGAGAAACACATCTTTGTGAGAGACACATCACATACTCACTCAAAATCTTAAAGTGATAGATGTGTAGATTTCCACACTTAGAAATACTAAAGTCTCCACATTTCTAATTAAAGTGAGACTTTCCCACACTACTCACACTTGTAATTCTTTTTTAACACCATTAGTGAAAGTCGAAAAATGTATTTCATGTGTGTATATGTATGTAATATACACTTAATTTTACTTTTGAACATATAAAAAGCTTTTGAACATATTAAAATAAATAAACAGACAAAGTATAGACCAATGACAAGATTTTGAAAATTGACTTTATTTCTTAGTGAATTTTTTTACTTTTGATTATTCTTACGCATATCACCATAAACCGTCTCTCTTTTTGATTTAATCCTTTCCTTGATGATGTTTATGGTTTTGATTTAATTTCATTGTCATCGTCAAAACTAAATATATGTGTTCAACACATAAAACCACAACCTCCTCCAAGGTAATAGAGTCTTCGTTCTCATGTGGATGGGTATCTTAAAAATGCTCAAATGATCTAGGTAATGAGCATAACAAAAGCAATGGACTTTATTCTTGTCATCAAGTCTCACCTCAATATTTTATAAGTCATCTATAATTTTAAGATTGTTCCTCGATAGATTTATTCTCCACCATTAAAATAAGTAAAATTGTTATTTCATACACAACCTAAGGCTTAAAAACTTAGTCTTATACAATGACTCAATCTTGACCCACATCTCGCTACAATCTTATTTCATACACAACCTAAGGCTTAAAGTCTTATACAATGACTCAATCTTGACCCACATCTCGCTACAATCTTCTTTCTCACAACTTTCTTTATATTTTTATCTCTTAAGTACAAGATAATGACACTTTTGACTTTATCCAACAACCGCTTATGTTAGACTTACTAACACCAATGTGTCACATTTCAATGATTCATCACACTTTTATTGAATCAAAATTACTTGCATTTTCATTTTTTCCATTTGTAACTCATGGTGCTCATTGTAACCTTAACCCCTTTGCCTCACTGTTGGGCCACTTATGAAATTGACCAAGAACCTAATGTGAGACAAAAAACAATGAGAACCAAAACGAAGTAGTCTTAAGCAACAATAATTTACCTTCTTAGTGTAAACAAAATCACAATAACAAAAACAAGACAAAGAACAAGAACTCATAAATTATTTATCCAGATTAATTCAAAATGATATGCTCTGACTGAAAGAGCGACTCTCGTATATATCTTCAAATTCATACGAAAATCTCCTATTTTGTACCTAATTTGCAATTTAATCTCTCATTCTCTAAATATATGAATCACACACAATCCCAAGTTATTGAGAGGTATTTCCCAAATTTTAAATTACAAAGATAAACTCAATTTATAGAATATGATAAATCCTATCAATCATATCTCTCTCTCTTTAAGTTTCTCTATATAAAGTTCCCTTCTTGCAACAAAAATGACCGGAAAACACGCCTGGCACGCGGGTAAGGCAGTCACAAAAGCCAAAATTTTACCAAAACATAATCTTCAATGATACCTATCAATATATTTTCTATAGAGGGGTTTCCAGAATATTTTTATGTAATAAAAGATAAAATATTAGAGGGTATTTTTAGCACCTGATTTGTCATTGTCTAATAGAGCGAGGAATTTCTGACTCTGATGGATCTTATACCCATTTGTAATTTGTAATTTATGAAATCATCTCAAAAGGTCCTACCACTATGCAATGCAGCTTCCCTTAAGGCTCGAGTCTTACCAAAAAGACTCTAACTATCAGGCATATATTTAAAGGACCATGCCACACTTTTAAGTGTGTATGACACGTTTTTTTGTTAAACAAAGTGAACAATTTATTGAAGCATTATTAGGAATCTATTCTTGGTAAGTAAAACTTCTATAAGCATGCATTAGTAGCTTTTCTGCTCACAATTGTTCTATAGCTTGTGTTTGATGACTTGAGGGCTTCAGAAACAAACTAGGGAACAACCGTTAAGCATTTGATTCCAAGCATATATCCAAATTATAAGAGGAATAAAACAAGACATGCTAAACTTTATATTTTAAGCATTTGATTCAAAGGCTTTATCTAAATAATTACTAGGAAAATCCCCCAAATTATGTAGACACCGTGTTTAAACAACATATCTAATTATGGCAGTGTTCAAAAAACTGATTATTTCTAACGTTAGCAAAGTACACAATAAAAGAGGGGCCAACCATCAAAGAAAACAAAAGAGAAGATATGAAACATCTATACTAGTAGTTAAGACAATGGTAGAGAGAGAAAAGAACATGGTATGAACTCTTTATGTTGGTAGAAGATTAGTTACAAAAGTAAAACATGTTAAACAGTACTGTGTCAGGAAAGCATAACAATACTCAATGGTGACAAAACAGAAAGAGCAAATATCAGGTCAAAGAATTTTAAGAAAACCAGATAACCGACAAAAATCAGTATGTACTTAAAAGCTCGAGCAAACATCACGCATTAGCTGGATCAGCAAACAAACCAAATGCATGATAGAACATTAAGAAGAAGAAAATAAGCATATGGATGATTGTTATATACCAAGTTAAGAGAACGAATACTGTCTAACAGCGGTTAATTCTGATCAAGTAATAATGGTGGAGGATAATAATAAACTTCAAAATTAACTCAGTAATACACTTCATAATGAGCAAACCACAAATATAACTTCTGAAATAATCATATCTAGTATTCAACAACACAGAGAACTAAACATAAATAGAATTCAACTGGATATGTTTGAAAAACAAAATATTAAAATGCTATCAAAGCCAACTCAGTACTTGACAGGAGCAAGTATTTCGAGTTGGGCGCCAAGCTTCTCTTCGACAATTTTCTCAGCCTTCACCCTTAATTTATTGAGCTGCTTCTTTCTCTCATAAACCAATGCTGATCTTTCCTTTCTCTTCTTTTCCAATTCCTGTAATCAAGAAAAGATCTACAAGCTTAACACAACCCAAAAGATCAAACTTCCAATTAAAAAAATATACACCAAAGGTACCTTTATGGTATCATAGTAGTTCCATCCTACTTCAGATGAAAGTTGTCCAAGATGACAGTACTTGTGACCTTTCTGAAGCCTCAATACCCTAGATCATTCATTCATTCAGTACTCATATAATAGAAATATGACTCAGTTATAAATTATAAAATCAAAACCTTTTAATTTTATAACCACATAATTCATTCAATTTTATGCCGGATTAAATTAGAAACGCCATGAACTTTAAGAGACTAACATTCTTAACTTACAAAAATAAAAACTTAAGCCTTAGATCGAAAACAGGAGAGAACTTACTTAAGTGCATCTGGGACGACCATTCTCTTGATCTTGTCATATGGAGGTGGAATACCTTCATAAACCTTTAGGCGAGCAAGAGCAGCTTCCCCACGCTTCGTCTTATGTGGGATCATTCTACACAAGAAAAAAACATGTTACACAAAATAACACAAACATTCTCAACACCAATATTAACAATAAAGCAAAATACTGTTAGGTTTTTGTTCATATTCAGTAAGGTGTTAAAGTCTTTGAAGCACCAACACTTTGATCAAATGCATGTTAAGTATTAACAACAACACATTTATTTCAATCAATTAATTTATTCTCTCATATTATAGTTTTGTTAAAATCCGACACCCGTATAACACTCATAAGTCAGACAATTCAAACAAATATTCAAAAAAATTATTATTTTCTTTGCATCAATACACCTAACTTATACATATCGTGGACAAATCTCACACACATCTAAAAGGGTAAAACATGTATTAAATCAATGTTATTAATAAAAACATTAATTTTGATTAGAATAATTTTTATGAAGCATTTTTTATATTGTCAGTGTGGTGTCCTAGTGTTCGTGAAGGAGTCATCGCTTCATAGTGACAATCACATTATACTAAATAGGATAACAGAAAACAAAACAATTTCTTAATTCAGCTACATCTATTTGACATTATTGACAACAGTGATCAGTGCTCAATACTATCAACCTAATAAACACATTCACCGTTTCACAACTTCACGTAACAAACACAGTTTCACAAACCAAAAAACAACCCTAAAAATCACAATTTCATAACAAAACTAAAATCTAGGTCAAAATGCGAGAGTGAAAAAGGACTAACCCTCGAAGAGTCCTCCAGAAAATCTTCGACGGAGCACGGAAATGAATAGGACCGTGAGACGGCTTCGTGTTCATCCGTTTACGAAGAAACCTCATGTACTTCATTTTCTGCCTGACGAGGCCACCGGAGATGCATATCTCTTCGCATCTAACAACCACAACTTTCTGTCCGTTTAGAAGCTCCTTCGCTACGATCGATGCCAAGCGACCGAGCATGTGGTGGCGAGCATCCACCACGACTCGCTTTGCGCATGCGCCGGAACCTGAAACCATTTTTTCTTCTCTCCGGCTTGTTTCTATGCTTCACAAGGTTTTGCAGATGCGGCAGAGAATTGTTGGAATGGTTATTAGGGTTTTATTTGTGTATAACCAAATGGACCGGGTTAAGATTTCGGATCCTTCAATAAATTTTGTTAGAATTTCACTTGTTAAAAAATTGATTGAGAGAATTTATCTTGGCACCCTTAATTTAAACATGGAACCCCTCACATTTTATTATTGACCAAAATGATATTCTCATTATTTATCTCATCTAGAATTTATGGTTGATAAAACAAATTCGCTTTCAAAGAATTTTTAAAAACTAAAAATTTGGTAGTTTATTTTAAAATTTTGATATTTTTTACCAGATTTTTAAAAATCTGGTATGAATTTTTTACTAATTTTTGAAAATGATTTACGATTTTTTACTAAAAATTTTAAAATATCTGATGAAATACAAATTTCTCATATATTATGAAACATTCGGAGATTTTTCAAATATTTCACATTTCATCTCCTTGTACTTTTAAGTACATTTGCATATGGATTTTTCATAATCATAGTATTCACCAATGAAACTTGGTGGTTTAATGGTGTTGCCGCTATTTGCTAAAAATGGTATTGTGCAAGTCATATCTACCTGAATCGATGAGCTAGTTACTTTAACCTCCTCTCATGTCAATTATAAGTATGAGTTACAATCTAAGAGGGCGGGGTGAATTAAAGTTACTCGATTTTTATTGATTTTGCGTTATGATCTTAATTGTCTTTGGATATGATAAAGATATATTCTTAGTAATAAAAAGTGAAGAAATTTAAAGTGCTGAAAATTAAATGAACATGAGAGATTTATATTAGTTTCCCTTATCAACCAATCGTACATATAATCTCTCCATACTAAATCTATGGTGAACTTTGAATCTCCATGAATCAAAGAAAAATTTCCAAAATCATCAAACACTCATGATGATTCTCACATCAACCAGAAAGTACACTACTTTCTGTTTACAACACTTAGAAAGCACACCACTTTCAAACCTAAAAAACACAGTGATATCATTAGTATGTCTTAAAGTAAACGAAAAACTCAAAAATATAATTTTTCAAAAGTATGAGATTGGAGATGTATGCAATGGTGTTTCATGCGTTTTAGATCATTAGATTTGATCCATTCTTAATTTGTAGGATTGCTGGAAGTGAATGAGATGATTTATTTTCCTTGGAAACGGTTGTGATAAGGATTTGAAGGTTTTCCTAAGCTTGAATTATTTTGAATTTTTGGAGATGATTCTTGGACAAGGGTGTTGTAACCCAAAATTTTTCCTCCCATTTTCTTCAAAAAATCATGTTCACAAAGGTCTCAAATACTCAAAGTTACTCAATAGTTGACTGGTCAAACCTTCTCCTAAGCAAGGGTCTTCAACTAGGGTTTGGTGCTTCTCAAATAAGATTGGGTTGCAAGGGTTTCAAATGAATTTCATGGTTCATGATAGGTCCTCAATAATGCTTATGTCAAGTTTCAAGTCTTGCATCACATGTTTGCTCAGTTAATGACTCAGATGATTGAAAGTCAACTGTATTGAGTAAAAAGTCAATTGTGGTCAACATACAATTAAAATTCAAGATTTTTTTGTCAACATCAACAATTTGAGGTGATATTCATCATTTAATCAAGGGTTGATCATGATTCCTCAAGGAAAGCCTTCAAATCATCAAAGGTCAAAAAATTTCCAAATTGGGGTTTTGATTGAAGATGAGTGATCATTGACTTTTGGCCTAGTGCATGACCTAATGGCTTAAAGCATGATCTAAAGGGATCAAATACAACATCTTGAACTAATTACATGGCTCAAGATATTTCCAAAGATGCAAGTGATTGATAGTTGAAGAATTGAATCAATTGATAAAAAGTCAACAATCAAACAAAAGTCAAACTTTGACTTTTTGGTCAACATTGGAATTCAAAAATCAAGAATCATCAAAATATTCAAAATTATAAAGTTTGATCATCAAGATCAATAAAGTCAACAAAAGTCAAAGTTGGAAGATTTTCAAGTACTTAGAAAAAAATTCAAGTATTTTGTGCTTAGAAAACCCTAACTTCACAAGCAAGTTTCCTCAAGATACAAGTTGATTCAAAGAAAATTTTCAACATGAAAGTTGTAGGTATTAATGAATTCTACAACTTTGTTAATGAGGGTTGATCTCCAAAAAGTGCTTAAATTAAGAGATATGAACCCATGAAGTTGTGATGTTTTTATCTAACACTTAGAAAAAATTTCAATAAGTTTTGATTAGTTTTCATCTCAACTTCTTAGCTATTTTTCACCAATTTCCCTTTTGAATTAGCCAAAATGGTCAACATGAAAATTGTAGATATTGATTCAAGCTTTCCAAAATATCTAAGAACACAAATTTATCATACTTGAGCTAGAAATTTCAAAGAGATGAAGATGGCATGTCAAACTTGAATTATAGGTCATTATTTTGAAAACCTTATGGCTAAATCTCAAACCTAAGCTACATGATCTCACTTTTCATTCCATGTAACTTCTAAGTCCCGCCTCGATCATAGATTTACACAGGTCCTAAGTGTATTACACGAGAATTAGAAGCATTGTCCACTTGATCATACCATTTTTGGATGAAATTGCAAAAAGCTTCATATCCATTTGCATAAAGACCACTTTAATCACAAAGTCCACTCCTTGAGCCTATAACTTATTTCTTCTGATCACACTCAACATGAGTGCTAAGAAGCAACATCTCTAAGCCTACCAACCACCCTACAATGAATTAGAACCATGTTCTTCAAGGTTACTTCAAAACTAAGCTTCCAAACTATAACTTATCACCTTGCAAATATGGTTACTTCAACCTCTCAAACCTTTTTCCTATAAATATAGAGGTCATTAGCAAGCCAAGGCACGAATTGACAAGCCCTCAAACCCTCTCAAACTCTCCCAAACCAGAATTGGCACCAAAACACCATTGTGGAAAGTTCTTTAAGCCTCAAACTTCCATTTCTCATTATACTTGTGTGTTTTCCTCTTTTATCATTCAAACACCTCACATACATTATATAGAAGTTGTCAAAACACAAGAACAACTTTTGTAACATCATTATCACCATCTTCTAAACTCAAAAACAATGCCTTGCAAGTTGACTTGGTTGGGGAGATTCAAACACTTTCAGTATAATATAAGCATTGGAACACGTTCAGGGAGGTCCAAGGAAGCTTTTGGCATCATTTACTTGCACCTGGAAGCATCCATACGCATTCTGAGTTTTCACTTCAAGAGGTAAGTTTTCCAAACTGTGATATCCTTATTTAAGCATCATTTGCAAATACATTCTAAAGCAAAAATGAAAATATCATACCTCTAAATCTAACCATGTCCTTAGTTCTCATTTAAATTGACCGTGTGATGAGAATTTTGACTCTGAACCGTTAGGGTTCGTTTTTGGTACTAACAGAAATTCTTGCTTGTCTTTGATTGTTGGTTAAAATAAGTTATATGGTTGAATTCGTGATTAAATTTCAAGCAAGTTTGGTGTTTACGCTTTTCAAAAAGGTTGAGAAATGAAGCTTTTAGAAATTCAAAAATGGTGTTGTTGTTGTTTTGTTCGCGCGAGGAAGAAGATGAAGTTTCATATTTAAATTTTCAGAAGTGAGTTCAAAATATATTTAGTGGTTGTTATATAATGACTGGATGAAACAACCACCCCCGTGCAGCGCGCATGTGTTTAAGGCTTACATATGCTCGGTCCTAGGTTCAATCTAGGTGTGGGACATTTTATTTTCTAGCATTTTCATTGTAGATCCAATACAAACCAGGTATACGCGCTCATCATGCGCCTCATGTCACAACCGTCAGATCTCAATCAATCCAAATTTGATGCTGCTGGTGATTCCCCCACGGTGCACCCCATTGAGCCAGCCACACATAATCATCACAGGCGCCTGGGCTTAAGGTGTTGGGCTTGGAAATTTATGATTCCATATCCCCCAATTTTCTTACACTACAAGCCCATTTTAATTTTTTATTATTTTATTTTAATTAACATTTCATTTTTTAATCAGTTTTATTTTAATCAATAAAAATCATAAAAAAATCAGATTTGGGTTTTTAACTAACTAATTTAATTTTTGATAAATAAAAAATTAATTTGATTACTTTGATTTTATTTTATTAATTAAAAATTAACTAGAATTAGGTTAAATCACAAAATATTTTTTCTAAACAAAAACCAACAAAAATATTTTTCTTAAAACACTCTAAACTTTTTTAGGGTTCTGATATCTTTTCCCTTTTCAATCTCTGCGCACTCGTTTACCTTTTCACATTATTTTCCAATATTATGTAATTGTCAATGGTTTGTAATAGATAATTAGGGTTTATTGCTTTCCTCCCTATTTTTTATGGTTTGTACTCCTCATCCCCGAAGCGATGTAATAACGTAGTTCATTTCCCGCATTTTTACTTTCCACACTTGTATATATTTAACTGCTAGATTAATTAGGCGTGCATGACGTAAAAAGAACAAACATTATAAAACCTAATCTCAAAGATAAAATACTGAAACCAATCACTTCACACACGCACACCTCTAGGGTGTCCCTCACTTGTTGCTTCGGATTTAAACAGTCATGTCCCTCGAATATAGGACGCTTTAGCAAAAGACCCTCGGTTAAAAGATCGTAGTCCCTCGATGAACCTTTGATGCTACCTTCGATAAATGATCTTAGTCCCTTACGAAAATTGCTAAAGCATCCTACAAGTTGCCTTATATGACAATACGATGACCCGCGCCTGTCCCTCACATCCATTGATATGCCTTTCTACTAACTAATGGTAGGATAGAACTATCTAAAGGAGGAAGAAAAGAACAAAGACCTTTTGAGTAGGTAGATCGCTCGTAATCGCTTGCTCACAAACTTTTCAAAACAAAACATCTTTTTACAAAACAACACTTTCTTTCACAAATATTTTCAAAACAAACATTTTGT